AAAGTCCTCCATCATACTATACATAGCATTCTATGCTCTGTTAATGGTTAAATCAAAATACAAAGGCGGCGCTCGGTGCCTTTGCTATTTTTTTCTCCTTTCAATAGAATTTTATTTGATTTCCATTCGTTTCTTCAAATCCGACCGGAACCTTTGCGTTTCCGGAATCTGGTCGGCGTGGGACACTTGGTCGTCGTTTTCGAACGATTCAAAATAGATTTTTTTTTTACTAAAAAAAATAATAATAATAAAAAGTCGACGATAAAATTTGTAATACACAGAGTTCCGGCAATTTTGCGGGTTCTGTATATTTTACTTCCGGTTAAGTGCAGAACCAAAGATGAGATAACGAACGACGTTTTATATTATTATGAAGATGTCGACAGTCATTGCCACCTTTGTTATAAGTAGAAGACAAGTCGAGTGTGGGATAGACAGTGCCAACAACGGTCCAATACGAAAATGTTGATAGCAATCATAGAACAATAAATAACTGTCCTTGAAAACAAAACCTTTGAGGAACTGTCACCGAGTGCGGTACGACGTCTAGCACGATATTGTTGCATTTCATTATAGATTATAATTATATAATGAATGTGAACAAATTATAATAAGGTGTGAAGTTATCCTCGCCGGTAGTCTGTACGCGATATATTATAGTAAAATACACACGAGACACATACAAACGTCAAAAGCTGTTACACAAGCCATCACGTTATCTGTCGGCAAGACTATAACGCATTATAAAGCACACATAAGACATCTGCTATCTATCATACTATATATTGTACGGTAGGCCGCCCTTCCCTAGGTAATTATTTACATCTCTCGTCGACCGAACTAGGTATACACAGAGTAGTCTTGTGTAAACAAGATATCGAATAATAATTATTACTAGTATGTTAATATAGCAAGTATATATTGAAAAGGCGATAGAAACTTAGCCCGAGGCGGATCCCTTTGCTCTCTTTCCAACTCTCCTAGTTCCTACCCATCCTGATTTTATAAAACTATTTCTATATCTTCAATACTACTCGTTTCTCTTAATGCATTGTTTCCTTCCAGTATTTTCCTGTAATTTGGCTACGCCTATTACTTATCGATAAATTGGGATAACCATAAAATATCGTGTTGAAATTAAGATATGTTTCAGAAATTCATAAATTTCTCAACGTCCAAACGAGGTCACTACTGTTTTTTGATATGCCTACCCAACCACCTACCGGTCGCCGCGCTGAGTGGTAAAAAATATATTATGCTAAATATGATTAATAGGTATACAAATTTTAAGTTTTTTATCGTACGTCATGAGGGATTATAATGACGACGACGACGTTCGCATGCAAATTAACGATTTCACAATGGAAAACAATTAAAATTCGGTCGTTAAGTTATGCGATTGTAATATTATTATTATTATTATTACTACTGTATATTATAATAATATACTATATATAACACGGCCGGCGGCAGTAAAAAGCACTGCTTATCGCCTCCTCCCCTCCAGAGTTTCAATTGTCAAAACAAACGTACCTACCCCAGCGTACCGGTTATATTATTATTTTGGTACCGGCGGTGGTTGGGAAATCATTAAAGAGCGATGAAAATTTAACGCCCCCCTACCCCTTTTCTTTTTCGTACCCGGGGGAGGACCTAAGGTCGCACTTTAAGACATCCTAAACGTTCATATTATATTGTTGGTAATGTGCTGGCGTTTAATTGGACGAGGGGAAAATATTATAATATAATAACAAAACAACACGGCCGAATAAGAAATCGCATGCATACCGGCTATATCGTCGGCGGCCAGTACAAGTACACTTTGTCTGAAGTAGTTTTTTTTAATATCCCAACTTTTAAGCGCGCAACTCACATGCATAAAGGTATGGACATACTATTATGTCGGTATAAATTTAAAAAAAAACCCGTTTTATATTATATTAATACTGTTTAATCGACCAAAAGAGTGTAACATTTTTTATTATACATTTTTTAAAAACTTTTTCAAACGGCTTTTAAACAATCTCATAAAATGTTTCCTACGTACAAGTGTATAATATTATGTTTATGCATTTCCGAGTTTATGAGAATTCAAGTTTGTACAAGGTAAAATTGTTTAATACTATACAGTTGTCGATAAAAAAAAAATGTTAATAAGTCGACCTAGCACGCATAATGATATTCAACAACGCCCTTGTGGTTCGACTACCTAATTTATCGTCGCGGTGTACTATTCTTAATTGATCCGAAACTAGTAAAAAAAAAAAAACCGTAGAAAAACACTTGACGACGGCGTGGAGGCAAAACAATCATTATTATATGTAATTCGGTCGGCATAAGTATTGCGCAATACCGAAGACATCGGCCGAGAGGAACGACTCGTGTACAAATAGATATAGCTAATAATTTTGTCATAAATAAATATTAACTACTCTAAGTGCAATGTAGTGTAACTAAAAAAAGAACAAATATTTTTGAGATGCATATAATACATTTTATTGTTATTACAAGTTACAACAGAAACCCAAGTGTCGCAATAACGTTAATAATAGTATATTTAAAGCTTTCTAAGGTCAAAATATCGTTGTTTCAAATAGTTCCCAACCGTTTTCAACAAATATGAATAAATTACAATTAAAAAAAACAAACGTTGTCGCCTTGATAGTTATGTTGCGTCCAACCGGAATATGTTGAATATTATTTTTTATTGAATCCAAGCTGTCACACACGCGTATTTACTCAGTTACACAATAAAAATGCGAATTTCTTGCGAACCGTGCAGTTTTTAGCTATACACACACTGACACACACATAAGCAGAGAAGAACACATTACACAGCAGTCGTGCGATACCACAATAATATTGTATTTGGTGCGTGTAATGAGTTCTACGCCAAATTGTGATCGTTTTATAATATTATACCCGTCGATTTGATCTTATAACGAGCGGCTTTGTATCGTTATTAAAGGCATATACTGCAGTAATAAGCACTTTGCGAAAACCGTTGAGTCAACATGGGTTGTAACAACTGAGTGTATAGGTATATATATTTATTGTTATTACTCAGCGCAAGCCGCGTGTAATGTAATCCGATTATATTTTAGACGAATACACGATGGGTACGATGATAATTAGAACGTTTTAAAAAAAAAACCGTTTATCCGCACAGATCCATGATTATAATGTGTATATATATATATATAGTGAATCGTCGCGTCTCTATCGGTATTGTCGGTCAAAAGAATGTTTGGCACGTCTTGGACCGTGGTCTGATTCGGCAAAATCTTTAAATGTCTTCTAAATGCAGAATGGAAAAGTGCAATTCCATTGCAGGAATTTTTCAAGTTTAGACTCAACGGCTTCTCAATCGAATCGGACTTGCAAGTCTTATTTAAGATTATTTATGTACCTACTCCTTGATTTAAAAAAATATAATATTTGTTTATGAAAACAATTCACACAGAACTATAAATGTATAATATTTAGGCAACACTATTGATTGGAAAACATTATATTATTACAGTGTAATGCACAAGAATCAAGTTGAGAAAAACAAACTGACTGAACCCTAGGATAGCTTCAGATTTTTTCGCATCGCATCGCGGAAAACCGACGAATGATCGCTCTCAGTTTAGACCATAAATCCGGAAGTCGTAGAACCGTGTTAAACGTCCTCTAAGCTGATTGGTGGAGGGAAAACAAAAACCGTCGGCGAGCCCATCAACAGAGGATTATTACTGTGGGAAGCCGTGTATTTTGTATACGTATACTTATTGCGGCGTCTATTTTCTCTGGTGCGACCGACGTGACTCGTACGACGCTGTGTTATAGCACCTGCAATATACCTGTAGTTTTATTTTACTATACAACGGCTATTGTCGTTTTCTTTTTTTTTTTTGGGGGGGGGGGGCGGAGGAAAACAAATAAATAACGACGGATCGTCAAACGTCGGTGCGTGTAACACAAACCTATAGTTCCGGGCGTCCGTAATCTGCTGCTACCCGTCGAGGTGTATGTGTCAATGTATAGCCGTAACCGTATCACGACGGCCGTGGCGAGAGCCCTTTCCCCTCTTCTCTCAAACACACATACAATTTCCCCTCCTCGTTATTATTATCGTATCCCTTCGCGGGGGCCTCCCCTTAGCCCTTAGTTGCACCGCGTGTAAACCCGTTTATATTTCGCTGCACGGGCCGTGATAACATTTTATTTATCGCGTTTCGTTCTATTCGTGACACAATAAAAACGGCCTACGGATTTTACGATCCAACTGGCGGTCTGCGTGTGATTTTCAAAACGACCTCGACGCAAAAACCTAGTCTATAAACACATAATAAATAATATGTGTATATTATACGCCCGCCGAAAATCAAAATCACAACCAATGTGTAGTAGCAACAGCTATACTCTGACTTGCTGTGCTCGTCGACGGTTAAAATATGTAGATAGAACCGTGCGGTGTGTCGTCCGTCCGAAATGGAAAACACACAAAGACGACTTTTTCTTGCCCCCCGGGGAAGTACGGGGGGGTGGGGTACGAAAAAAGGGCCACGTGTCCAATATCGTCGACCGGAAGGAAAACTGCAAAATAAATACCCGGACGACCGTGGAAAACCCTCGCAGACTCGTTCTCGATATCTGTGACAAAGTAACTCTAAAAGCAAAATAATAATAATAAACATTAATGTTGCTGTAATACATTTTAATTGCACGGTATTATTTGCCGGAGGCGAGGACGACGTCGGTGAAGAAGAAAATGATTAAAAAACTTCTTGATTGTAAAAAATAAAACAAAAGGAAGAGAGAAATGAATAAAAAAAAATTGGAAATTTTTATTTACTTTACTCAGACCCGAAGAGACGATGATCGGCGTGGAAAGAGGGGACGAGCAACCGCCGTGCCAAAGAGGCGCGCTGCCGTACGGGCGCCGCCGTATTCCGTCGACGGAAAACGTTGCGTCCGTCCCGGCAACCGCCGCCGAGTGTCGACGACGACGCCGCCGCTGCACTATCAGTGTCCACGACAGCGTTCCGCCGGTGCAGTCGTCCAGTTACCAGTGTTCGCGGCAGTTCGTCGTCCCAACGCGACGCGGAACGGAACGTGCGAGAACCGAACGCGGTCGTCGCGTCCACAAGTGTTAATTAGCCGACTTGAGATAGTTTTTTTAAAATTTCATTTGGTTTTTTTAAACAACAATTGTTTACACTGATACATTGTTAGTAACGACACGGCCGCCAAACCTTTGGATTATTATACTTAAGTCTTATGCGGCTCGTTATTACCGTACACATATTGTAGACCAGGTGATTACCACATTGACTTCGTGTAGCTATATTATAATATATGTTATTAAAATAAAAATTAATCATTACCCACTGACACATACAACAACGCAAGGCTATTATGTGCGATTCGGGCTTCTCAAACCTATCAGTTTTATGTAATAGTAATAATATGTATATTATGCTCTCCGGTACTCGAAATTCAATTAAGAGGCCTTGTGATCAATCGGTAAGGTAACCGCCCGCGCGTTGAGATTTCCACGGTACGGACGAATCATTAAAATGTATTTCATCGATAGAACTTTTGGATGGAAACCGACTGAGACAAAAAAAAAACACACATAACATTCGGTTTATCTATATTGTTTGTGCGACGCGATTACATAAATTTGTCTATGATAGCTAAAAAATCAAAAATACCGTCAACGTTGCACATTGATGATAATATTACTTTTGATAATTAATTGCGACGCGAAGCGACAGATAGGCAACTCTGCCCGCTCCCGTCACTCCTTCCTATCTAAATATTTTTTTTCCCATCTAACTATTACCTCGGCGTATAGGTTTTTCAAGGTTCTCATAATACAAATAATAATAATATATTTTTTGCCGCAACCGCCGCCTAAACGTCGTCGTTTTTATCATATTATACTTGCATCCCCCTAAGTTGTTCATTAATCACTCGGCGAACGCATTGTGCGCGTTTATGTATAATATTATCACTATTACATTATTATTATTATAATATGCGGACGAAAAATATTAATGGAGCTTCGTTGTTGTCGGTCGTCTCGTCTTTGCCGCCGGTGTGCTTTTGACAAATATCATCATTACAATATTTTATAACAATATAATAACAACAATATTATTGTCATAAGACAGCGATCATACATAGATAACCTCTAGGGTATTGGGATAGAGAAATCAATTTTCTCAGCACACCAACGCCGGAGATAATCGAAAAACTTTTCGCGCGCCACAGGACAACGACTCGTCCTCGATTGATACATAAAACTGCTATTTGAAATTTTCTATGTCCTCGCCGTTTAGCGGACGGCGGTAAAAAGGAAATTAAGTATTGTCCAATTCGACGATACTTTGTATTATAATGAGGACGGCTCGGACGAAAAAAAGTGAAAAACTTTTGGACGCCACCGCGGTTAATTTTTTTGCATTATTCAATCCTTTAGCGGGGAGAAATTAAACGAGCGGGGGCGGCGGGCAAGGAAATAGTAGCAATTAAACCGGTCGATCCAATCAAAAATGATAATAAAACAAAAAGTCCGAAAGCGGACGCCCGCGATTATATTTTGAATGTAAATACAGCAAAGGCGGAATCCGAAACAACCAACGTTTTCCTCTCGTTCCAATTTACACGGCGTCGTTAAAATATGATAAACTCGGCCAAAGTTTTCGCTTCGGCGTGCTTATATTATATTATAACAATAAGACAACCGCGGAACGGTAACGACGATTTTAATAATAATAATATTTTATTTTTTTCTACTCGACGGCCATGTTCGATCTTCTTCTTATCTAAAAATACCAAACCCCAGTACGAGTGGGAGGTGGAGAAAAAGCGAAAAAAATAAATAAATAATAATTGTGTTGCAAAACGAGTGCGAGCGCGCGTCTTAATTGCTGGCGCTGTGTAACGACGTCGGTTCGAGCAAACTCTGAGAGATGCGGACGACAAGGTGATTAATTATCCGGCGAGGGGGTTCGGCGATGCCCCGAAGGGATGAAAAATAGGTGGGGAGCTTTTGCCTAGAGTCCCGCAGTGGAGTAGTAGTAATAAGTTAATAATTCCAGCGTTTAAACCCGTGCCAAAGAGGGTTGTTTTTGTGTTACCGCACGACGACGACGACGACTATGTTTTATTAGCGTCATTACTTCTGTTATTATTATTATATTCTAATGTATATTCACACATAAGCCTGCGAGAGTGTATTGTATACAACAACACACACCGTTTATATATTATACTTTTGTATTGTCAAAGCGCATACAGAAATTCGGCGTACCTATAGCTGCAATTATTGTTAAGATCCCTCCCTCCCAGCTCTTGCGGTGTACAATGTATTGTTTAACGGTCATGTTGCATATAAGCCTTCTCGACCGTCGGATTGCCGTGGTGTACTCTGTAGTTTTTCCATAGTAGTCCTCGGCGCACAATACTTTGCATAATTTTCCGGCCAAAAGAGATTTTCCACCTATACTCGGCGGGTCAATTGCATCGCATACGAGCCGGCTAAGTTCAACGCGCTTTCAGGCCGACGAACACGCAAAAAAAGCAAAAAAAAAAAAAAATCATACCGGCTTAAGTACTAGAATTGGGTCACGCGGCTTACAAAAAGTATAAAAAAAACAGCCCACGAATATAGCGGCGGCAGCGACTACGGTTTTTATTATTTTGTTTATTTATATTTATTATTATATATTATTATTTTGTTTTTATCTAAAGAAAAACGCCGCCCAACGTGTTTGTTTATCGATAAGACACGTACACTGTACACAAACACAAAGCATTAAGCGGTGGCGGCGACCTTATATTACATTATTGTGAGTTGCTATCGCGCGGGTGCGGCGAAATACATTGGGTATTACAAGCTATAATAATATTCAAATGTACGGTACATTATTATAATATACACATACATAGGGGGGCTTTATGTACACATAATAATACTGTACGGTCTGTACGCGTCTGTCGGACGATTGGCGAGGATTATTATTTCGGCCCGAAGAGGTTCGGGCCAGTCGATATAATATTTTTTACACTTACGCTTCGACGCTCTATCATCCTTTACGCACAACCTGTTAATTATCTACATCGCCGTAGTGATTATTAAACGAGCAAATCCATTAGCGACGGGTAAACATCATGTACGTGATTTTTAGAAGAAAATGTTTTTTTTTTTTTAATAAACAACAAACGGAGTTATCGACTCTCCCCATTCACACCTCAGCAGCGTCTCTCGGTCGCGAAATCATTGTCATTCGGACAAAAAAAAAAACTTCAATTTCACGGTGACTCTCCCCCCTTTCCACACGTCCGGGCCCTAACGAATCGGCTCGGTCGCTAGTGCCAGTATACAGGGTGATTCGTTGACCACTTATAATAACCGGGTCGCTCATTGTTTGTGTGCAAATCCGATCCGGCGGTTCACCCTGTATTGACCATCATGATAGGCGTTAAGTCAGAAGCACGACGTTAGCAAGGACAAAGGTTCCGCCGCCGTCGAGATGTCGCAGCAAAACGGGTACAAAGAAATTCGACACGGTCGTTCACCGCTCACGGCTGGCTCTTTTGTACATTATATTATTATTGTACCTACGCATAATATAACGACAATAATGATAATATTATATTATATAGAAAACCTAACGCGGAGGAATTAAACGAGAGCGATTGGGGGGGGGGGGCTGCTTTTTTGTTGGGTCGAAAAACCGCGCTAAATCTACATACACGCGGAACACAATACCGAGTGCGCGACAAGCCTTACTGCAACTGTATGGAGAGAAGCTGTCAGCTCACCGTTATGTTTACATTGAAAGTGACCCTTCTGCTTTCGTCTATTCCGTGCCTTAACCGTCCGGAGCACACGTGCTCAAAAGTAGACACTACTATACTTATGATAACGGTGTGAACTGTTAATGAGATACGAGTAGGCCCGAGACATGACATTGTTGAGTTGTTTTAAGTCCAAGCGACTCCAAGATATGTCGGTATTAGCTTTTTGTAGTGTAAAATCATAAAAAATTTCCCGTTGATACATGGCATTATATTTTTTTCCCTGTACTCTTCTTCGCGTTGTGTATTATTAATTATTTCAAACAGTCAGTTCACCGATAACTGTTGAGATGTTTACTGCGCTTTCAATGCCGATTGGCCCATTTCGGCACGCGTAAACGATACTGGCGGTCAGCACGATTTTCTCCTTTTTTTTTTTATTACTCCAAGGACATAAATCTGCAGGGCGTCTCATACGACAAATGTCTTTGTTTTGTTTTTTCCTTCTCCGTTCCATTTCCTGTCCGGTTTAATACCGCAATTATTCAAGAGGGTTTTATTTTTACGGACACCGCGAAGAGACAGGGGAAAAAAAAAGCTAAAACATGACTTAATCCAATTTTTTTTCCTAACGACTCTCCCTAAACCTCGGACCGGTAGAGTATGTAATCGCGGCCACGGTAAAGCGCCTGTTCTTCTTCCATTAACAAAATAAAAAAAAAACACCGTGCCGTACACGGAACCGATGCGATGACGGTTAACCTAACCTAACTTGAAATTCGAATATAGTTCTATTGAACGACTAGATAATTGGAAATTTTGATTTGTTTTTTCTTTCCCGGACAACGGAAACGCGATTTATTCGGGTCAAGAGATATACCGGGAAACGGAGGCGAAAAGGTTTTGTCAAAGTCGAGTGTGTTGTTTGTTCGCGCTTAAGCCGACGACGCTAAAAGGGAATTATTAATTAGCCAAGGATTTTTCGTTGTGTGTTTTTCCTTTTTCTGCGAACCCACGACAATACGGTCGGACGCGAATCGAATGGGGAAAAGAATAACTATTAGCGCGTTGTCTGAAGAGGAAAAACAGCATTAACGGCGGAAGCTGCACACGGCCAATATCGACCGTTAACGATTGTTTTTATTTTTGTCCTATTAGGGCGGGTTGCACAAAAAAACCTGTCTGTAAATGTGTTTACGTCCCTGTGACTAATTCATTGTGTAAACTAATAAAGTGTTGCACAAAGAAAATATGTTATGTTATTATTGATAACCGTAGACAATTATGCGACAGAGAAAATGCCAGTTTTTCAAAAGCCCAGCACAAATGCGTTCTGTAGTAGCAACGTTTAACCGCGGGGAGCTTACTTAAAACTCTCTCTTCCGCGCAACCCCTTTTGAACGCCTCGTTATATTATTATTATGATTATGATGATCGCTATGTTAATGTAGTTGGCTTTTTGTTAATTTTGCCGGTCAAACAATACGCAGCGGCGGAATGTTTGACATTTTTGTCAAGCACAACGGTATCTTGAAAAAATGGTATTACGCAAGCCGGCGACGACAACACTACATTATATTATTATGTCAATACGAGCGAAAAGGAGATAATCGTTTTAATTAACCATTAACGACTACGGTGGTTTCTGTTTTGTTCTTATCTTATCTTTAGAATTTCCCTCTCTCCCTCATTTGTGCGTGTAAAAAATACAAGCGTCTTGAATATTAATCTTTGTACATTTTTAATACACAAAGAACGTTATTTATTATTATTACAGTAGTGTTAATGAATGTCATTTTTTTTTTTTTTTCATATTAACACAGCAGTTAATGGTCGTCGGTGGCAAACAATAGGCGATAAAAAGACAACGCAGGCGGGAGCAGCGAGTCTGGCGGAATGGTCGCGTGGTCGCGATGACGGTGGCCGATCCTTGCAGACCGGACGCGGACCACGACGGCCACGACCATGAAGTGGCGGCGACGCGCGTCCACGGTGTTTGCGGCCCTGTTGGCCGTCGCCGTCATGTTGCAAACGATGCCGGGCGGACGGGCGGACAGCCTGTGCGACACGCCGCAGTGTCACTGCGATGACACGCAGTCAGAGGTCAAGTGCTCGTGCCGGAACGCTCCACATGAACCGCAGGTAAGCATCAGCAATAATAATAATTACTCTGGAAACGGTTTCGCTAAAAATTCCGGGAAACGACTTTTTCGCGTGTTCAAAACATAAAGCGGTAACACAAGAGCCGCCGACAATTTTTTTTTTTCTTTCCAAAAATGTTTTTTTACCTTGATTAATTTTTCGCTGAACGACCCGCGAGCAAAAGAAAACCTTTATTCTCTTAACGACGCGCTTTTTTTTTTTGCTTTACACCATAACTTAACTGTGCGGGGGAGGGCGATATGCTTTTTTATTAAACATGTATATATATATATTTGTTTTTTCTGTGTCGCGATTATTAGGCGCGAAGCCGGCCGCGATTAATTAACGACGCCGGTGGGGTGAAGAAAAGAGCCCAAAGGGGGAAGGCGTGGGACCCCGGGAGTCTGTCGGACAAAACGGCCGCGAAGATCGATCGGTGTTTAAGCGCCGACGAAAAATAAGAGACGGGTAATTTTTTTTTTTTTTTCGTTAAAGGTGGAAACACGGTTACCCTTGGGACCGCACGCGTTTATAATATGTCATCGTTAGTGAACCCGCGCGACACTGTCGAAGTGCACCAAAAAAACGACCCTCATGCCAAATACCGATATTAATAATAACAATAATATATTAGGTACACATTTCTCGGAAGGCGGTTTATATAACGTGTATTTACGACTCGGCTCGGCTTGTGTTGGCCAATGGCGACGGTCGGGGACATAAAGTTCGGCGTGGACAAACGGTGTAGATTACACACGGCGTATACGTGTATACATATATATATTTGGGTTTACGGTCATATACATGCAACTAAGGAACAACTCGGAACGGCCGGCGGTCAGCCGAGCACTTAGTACAGTAATACGAGCGTATGTTTTTGTTGTTAAAGTTTCCCGTTACACCCGCCAAGTGCAACGCCGCTAAACATCAAGAATTTGCGGCGGCGGCGGAGGCAATCGACAAAAGGATTATGAGGGGAGAGACGATTTAATCCTTTCGGCAATCCGCCCTATTGTTTTTCTTGACCGTCGCTGCCCCGCCAGGCCACGTTAATAAATAATTAATCGGCATACCGCATCCGAACCTAACACAGTGTGTACCCGCGCCTCGTCATATTATCCTCAGAATAATAACAAACAGCTTGTCCGAGCGAATCTCCGGCGAATAATACATATTAATCTGTTTGTTTGTTTCCAGGAAATCGTGCTAAAAGCTCAAGGGCCGGGCCGCGTTCCCAGGGTAGCCACCAGCGTGTCGGTGACCGACTGCGACCGGGTGACGGTGATGCCGATGGCGTTCGACGACGCCAAATCGTTGTGGACCGTCGACATCGGGTCGGTGCAGAGACTGGAGGTTTCCGAACGGGCGTTCAGCTGGTCGGAGGTGACGACGCCGGGCGTGCAACACCATCATCAGGGCCTGGCCGTGACCGTCACCAACGCCACAGTGCCCGAGTTGCCGAGCTACGCGTTTCGCGGCCGATTGCGGTCGATAACTTTTGCGCGAGTCCGGCTGGACTCCGTCAAGCCGTTCGCGTTCAGCAGCCTACACGGCACGACGGGGCGGATCGAGTTCCGGGAAACGGCGTTCGGGCTCATCGAACAACAGGCGTTCAAGAAATTCACGGTAAAAGATTTCGTGTTGAAGGCGTCCAGTTTCGAACAACCGGCGCCCAGCCGAATGCTCACCGAGATCACGGTCACCGACGAACTGCGCGTGGAAGACGTCGAGTTCGCTCTGATCCGGACTTACGCCTTCAAAGTGCACGGACCTAAGGTGTTCCGGGTGCAGAACTGCCGGGCGGCGTGCGTGCAGAGCACCGCTTTCGACGTGACCTGCCGCGGACCGGCGTTCGTCGAGGACAACTGGTTCGAACGGTTGGAGCGCGGAGCGTTCGCGGCCGTCTCGGTGGATAGCCGCAAAGTGTCCGAAGAAGATTTTCAGGAATTCGTTTTCGAGAACAACACCGTGGCCGAATTCGAGGACGACGCGTTGGTTTTCGACACCAGGGGATTCAGACCGCGACTGGATTGGCTGATCGTGGGCAAGGCTTGCGATTGCTCGACGAGATGGCGCGACAATTTGGTGGCCTTCTCGCTAGACTATCCGCACAAGACCACCCGACCCAGCTTATTGGTCGAGCAGGTGGCCTGGTGCTGGTCGACCGACACCGGCGAACGTCGTCAGATCAAGGCTAAGCAGTACGGGGAGGCCAACTGTGCGGGTGGCATCGCAGGGGCTCGCAGCGGTGGAATGGGCGCGCTACACATGACCATGCTGGCCGTCGTGGCCGTGGCCACGCTTACCGCGGCTCTGGTGTGTTGGTCGTGGTACAGGAAACGGCGACGGAGCCAGTGGATCAACGTGCCCGGGTCGTCGCCGCTCAAGACCAGGTCGATATTGAAAAACAGAGCCGGCAGCGGCAGTGGTGATAAGCGCCGGCACATGATGGTCATGCCCGAGGGAAAGACTTACCGAGAGACGGAACTACACGTGATCGTGGAAAGCGCCGGGTCTGCAGACGGCCTGTACCGATCATCCGCCTCGAGTTTCAACCAAAGAATACAACCGTTAACCAGTGATTTATAATAATAATAATAATGATAATGATAACAATTTATATATTATTATTACCTCCTATTATTGATAATTTGATTTGTTATTATTTGATTTTTGTAATTCCATTTTTAAATGCCCAACGAAAAAAGCATACACCCAGATTTTATTTTACATTGTAAAAAGTAATTATCTTAACAGTCATTTAAATATACGAACAGTAATTGTCTTTCCTGATTTCGATTTGTATTATTTTTTCGGTTTTGAACTTTTTCTTTTTTGTAGCCCAACGACTGAATGTAAAATTACATTAGTATAATAATATACATCGGATAATAATAAACTAAAATCGATATTATTGTTTTTTCGGTAAAAATAATATTATTCGCTTCGGAAACAATAAATAAAACGACTATACTGTTTTTGTCCCATTTGTTTTGTATACACAACAATAAAATATATTATTATCTAAGTGTATGTACCGAAATGTAATTTGCAACGAGTTGTCATTTATGTTTCGCACTTGGTACCCGACCTGCGTAAACCCCACGCCTGCAAACGACAACGGGTATATTGTTCCACGTGTCGGTTCGATTGACAAGGTCGGTGTTACCGAAAGCATGTAACAATAAGTTGCACATACAATAAGAAACGGCGATTCGGATGATTATCGAATGAAAAATACCCGGTACAGACAATCAGTCTCGGGCACAATAAAACGAAAATACAATTAAAAAAACCCGAAAAACCTTAGTAGGCAGGCGTCGTCTCGCGCGTGGCTTACAACAATTATTAGTGTTTATTATTACCCAATAATCTTTTTTTTTAATACCGATTTGTTAATTTGGAAAAAAAAGAGGATTTCTTAAACAGCCAATGACGACGTCGAGTGTTGTTTGAAAAGAGCAAAGTTGCGACTGCAAGACGGGCGCGAGAAGGGTTAGAAATGACATTTAGAAACCTATAACATAACGGCATAAACTTTGAACGGCTTTTGGTAAACGAGAAACTTTTAAACGCTCACGCCTAACCTGACTCGACCTCTCAAAGTAGTTGTAATATTTTCTTGTTAATTTCTATCCAGGACCACATACTTTCGAACCTCTATGAAATACATACCTCTGCCTATAAATTCTTCTACACTAATCCGTCTTACTATTTCAGTTTCTTCCCGTCTCTCAACATGCTCAAACCATCTAGGTCTCCCCACACATCCGTCTACGACGACGACATTCTCACGCCAAACACTCAATTCCATACATCAACGCTGGCCTCTCTAGTTTTATAAGACATATCCAAAAATAATACACGCTGATTGTCACATAACACAACCGTGTCTTTTTTTCACCGCATTCGACCGCGCTTTACATCTTCGCAGTAATATTATTCCTCCGTTCTCTTGCATAACCGATCATAGCCAAAGTGGTCCTAAAACTTTTTTTACTCTCTTCCCAACTAAAATAATAAAACAAAGAGCCGCCGACGGAATAGCACATTTACATACAACAAGTCGACTTGAAAAATAAAAATAAAAAACACAGTGTCTAGTTTGAACGTTTGAAGGGAATAAAGTACAACTACCCGTCGAATATATGTATTTTCTGAATACATACACACTACTGTGTGTGTGCGGATATGTAATATGAAAGTCCAATCTCTTTTGGACGCTTTCCAATAAAAGTCTTTGCACTCGTGTAACAATCGAACGGCTGTTACTTGTACACGGTGTGTAAGGTTAATAAATCCGGAAAACTCATCGGACCCCAGTTTGCAGAGCACACAGCAAATTCCACAAATACAATGGGATCGGCCATATTATAACTTTCGGATTCCACCATATCTATCCATACCGCATACCGTTGTTGTATTATTATATAACTTTACTTGACCCCTACGCCAATAAAAAGCACCCGACTGATTACAGAATTGGCGTCACACCAATTACATGTGTTAGGATGCACTTCGGCAAAACTGAGCAACTTTATCGTAAAAGTACATCTATGTACATATAGTTAAGAAATCAAGACTTTAACTGAATTTTGGTGTGAGCGATGTTCGATGAAAAAAAAAATATTGAACGCAAAGCCTTATAGACGATGATTGAAAAGTTGTAATATTCAAATAAATTCTTGATCAAATATAGGTATGCCATGACTAACGAGTTTTTGTATAAATTTGAAAAATAATTTAGCCTTAAAAAAATGATGACAGACTGCAAGACAAATAATCGGCCTGTATGTAAGTAGATACCGCTAAATACATAAATGATAAAATAATGGACAGGCCATGTTTACTTACTGAACACACGAGGATACTTTATCGCGAATGAACACAAACAAAGAGAGAAAGAGAAAAAATATAATATAATAAACGACAACGTTATTACACACTTTATAAGTTTATATAACCTGAAAAATATATGCTATTCTCTCGTGATACGCTCTCGGGACCTATCCGTTATTTTATTCCTATGCCGCAAACAGTGTTGCAGTGTTCGCGTAAAGTCTATAATTTATTTTTTTTATCCCTAGATATATTGCCTTATATTTATGTATAGGTATATGACATCACGCCACGGCGCGGGCTCGCGCAGACTTATCGAAGCAACGCGTACAGATAACCTGTAAAATGAAGATTTATTTGAAACAACGGCAACACAAAGTGATATATAATTACTATTTCGGTCGAATCGAGTGGATTGATAATAATGTTCTAAATAAGTGGCAAGTGAGATGCGACCACAAAAACGCACGAGAATTGGTTTGGGTTTTTCTTAAAAGTGGACCAGAGCGATTTGTCAATCAAACTTTACAGCCGCCCGTAATCGCGTTAAACTCAGTTGAAGACACTGCACTCGATCACAGTCCGGAGTACTACTCTTGGCCGGTAAATAAATGTGGGCCATCGTCGCGGTAGGATAACGGCGGTCTGAAAGTATGTTGTTTCGGCGGAGTTCGGTAATTTTCTAGGTAATGTTAATCTTAAGCGATTGATCGCCGCGGCCCGTCGATTTCGACAACGAGGTAACCGTATTTTACAACAAGTCGCGAATAATAACAACTTAAAAATGTGCGCCTCGAGCTTAGCTCGTGCCTTTTTCCGTTTTGGCGAAAGAACAACTCGCTAATAACAACGTTGATCGATTTTTTTATTCTAATCCGACGTGTTGATAACAAAAACCGTAAGTGTTTTGCTTCCTTTTCGCAGTATCCCCGCTTATACTATCCGCCGATTATTCGAAGAAATTCAATCGAGAAGGGCCGCGGTAAGAGTATTATCGAGAAAGGGTTACCTCCCCCCCCCCCGTCTTTACCTCGGTAATTCGATTGTGCGTTATTAATCAATTGTCGTACTCGCCGGGAACAATTCGCCAAGTGTATACTGCTTATAACTGACAACTCGTTTTGACTGTTCATGGACAATTCCGAAGCCGGCAGAAGGGTTCCGAAAGAATAGCAAAATATAAGATACTACACTGAACACGCGTCTGCTGGACTGCACAATAAGTGCGATGTGTACTTAGCCTTGTCCAATTTGGCGTTTCCACGTGTAGACCCCCATTTGGCGTGGTCAAAAACAAAAACTACCGTTAGAGAATCGCTTTCGAGTTAGACGACAAAACTTTTAACGAAACGTCTCTTATCCCCATGTAATCAAGGTTACGGCGGTCGTTCCCTTTCGAGTCGGTCAATTCAATACAAGGCCAAGCGAACAAGTGCGCGCTGCTGGTGTTAAGTATCTACACAACCGTTCCACTACATTATGTAATTGCCGTGAACAAGCCACTTACCTTAGTGGAAACTTGCCGTCCATGACTTGTTGGATGTCGGTGATTGGTGCAAAAGCGAATCCTTTTTTCAACAGGCCCGAATGCCGGGAGTACGCGCGATGAGCGGCAGCCAAGGACTCCAGTTCAGTAGTAGTGTGATGGGTAGGCGGCCGTTGTTCTGAAAAAACAATATTAGATTACCACTTGATTGTGCACACGAGTCAGTTATGTTGTAGTTAAGATCAGCTGTGTATAATATATGACGACAACAAGTACAAGTAGGTACAAGTAAGTAATACATAAAAAAACAGATTTTTTTTTTTACTAATCAACACACAATACAAGTAGGTATTGACAAAATCCAGTGAAACATTGGATTATAATTGGGTTAATAACACAACATACTTAATTAGCGATTAATTGAAATGATGAGAACTAAAAGGGTACGAGTGACGTTTTTTAAAAACAAGTTTTAAAACAAGGTCATACAATAATATGTTTGTTTCAGAATGTTTAATCGATATTTAAACGAAATATTGGAAATAACCAATGAACATAACCCACTAATTATACGTTTTTAATACAGGGTTATCTGGAAGACAAAAAGATACTGTTTCTATTAAATATGTTGTAACGAGAACTGAGATAAACATATTTTTAACGATGGTTAACTACTCAAAATAGTTAATTTATTAAAGACATTTTTAGGATTCAAAAGAAGCTGTTGATTAGTTTTTATTACTATTTATTATTTATCAACAAAAACAGAGTATTTATAATTTTAATTCGTCTAGAATAACTAGATAACTATATTATTTATTCTTTATGATTATTTAAATTAAACGTCTCAACCTAAACTCAGAGAAATTACCCTTGAAATTACAACATTAATTGAAATTACACATATCAATTTCTCCAAATTTAACAAAAGTATTATTTAAAAAAAAAAATTTTAAATCAACACAATTAAAACATAACTTGGGATATTATTAAACCTACTATATACTTATGTGTCAATAGTTCTTCCTTTACAATTACATTCTATTAGTTCTTTAATACTTTTGAGAGCCAGAGTTATGGAAAAATGTATATAAAAACGAATAAAAACTAAAACAAATCTAATGATATATTAATTGAAATAAAAAGATATTAATATTTTATTCGATAACTTTCAAACGACATTATACCAATAATATTTGTCTTAAAAGAAATTGCTTAAAAAAATCTTGCCAATAATACCCAACTCTCAGTGTTTATAAAATTAAACTAGAAAGTCTAGTTGGAGTTTCTAACTTTAGATAATGCTGTGGGTAAGGTGTAAGAGAACTATGCTGTGGGTAAGATGTTAGAGTACTACACTGTGTTTACCGTTGTCGGGCAGGATGAGGTCGCATTTCAGCATAGTTGATACGCACATCCCTCCAAGAAACGATAACTCTGTTTCTAAATGAATCAGCCCATAGCCCATCTTTTGGTATTTGCTCATCTCGTCCACTTCGTATCCAATCACCAGACACCGAAACCCATACCGGGTGGCCCGTTCGTTTTTCGTGTAGTCCGATGACGTTTCCATCGAGAACACCACCTCATTACCTACAAAATATGATACATATTTATTATTTAATACATTATCATTATCTGTGTGGTTAACATAATGAATTGTTTATTGTTATTGGAGACCCTATCAAAATATTTACCGGGTAGCATTACAGCTGCAAACGGCCACTCCACCGGGTCGTTGCTGAATTTTTTCAAAACCGGTATGTAAGGCGAAGAGCCAAGTTGCTTGTCTGCATCGTCGTCAACGTAGTCTCTATAATTGGGAATGTACAGCTGTAAACAGTCTTCGGCCTGAGCGGTACAGCTGCGTGGATCGAATTCTAAGCACAACCACTTGACCTCTTTGGGAAATTTAACTCTAAACAAACAGAAAACAAATACAATTATTACACTAACAAACTAAAGTAGTAGAAAAAAAAAACAATGATTTAATACAGTTTTCTAAAACTCAGGTAGATACCTAAACACAAGTGACCGTAATTTGCTGAGTAGGCGGCCCAAACTAAGCATTTGAGGATTGCGTAAACTCTCAAAGAAATTAATGTTTAGTCAACCCGTACCTGGTCGGGAGGGTAATATACTGTACATTTTTTAAACGGTTTGAAGATTTTAAGAAACTACTTAAAAATGTTAAAACACCTACTAGATAATTTTAGATACATACTTGTAATTGGATACAGAAGCTGTTTTATATGGATGGTCGCTTTCCACCCAAGCGTAATGATGAGAATCAATCATGCCTTTGATCTGTTCGCTTTTCTGTAGTTTCGACTTGGTTGCCGGCTTTGCACAGTTGTCCAACTTATCGCATATGTCTCTGTGGTACAAGTCTAAATTTTCGGCTGCGTACATATTGATCAACGTCACTTCCGGCATTAACTTCCTGATCAGGTCCAGAACGTGAGTGGCACTCTGCGAAACGCACAAAGATTTCTCAGGTAAGCACATAAAGCCATCGAGAAACACGACCAATAACAATACAGTACCTTGGCGTCTTTGGAAAACGTTATCAAAGGCCCGACGTGCGACAACACTAAAGGCATTAGTATGTTGACTATGGCGGATTCTCCCAAGTACTTGTAAACGAGTGGGTCGTGTTTTATTTTAACGGCTCCGATATTCAATAGCTCCAACAGTTGATCGACGATTGCTGACAACGCGCCCAACGTACTTTCTCTGGCGTTTATTTTGTTGCACATTTTCTTTTCGGAGTCGTTGTTTTTGTCGCTGCCATTACTGTAGGACATAACACACACACAAATTACTGGTGGTGATCCCTTGATTAAGTTGGAACTTAAGAGCTAAGAGACAGTTGCAAGGGCTCAAAGGATGAATGTAGCCTAAATGACAGGTAGCTTCGGCGTAACTCTATTGCATTCGAAAATAAGGTTACAAGTAAACATCGGGGATGAATGTGGGAGTAGAAAGCAGAAATAAAATAAGGTATTAGAAATAATTGACACTACTAAGTCATGAGCAGATATCTTAAGGAAGTGACTGGCTTTCACTAAACAGTTAAAAGCACTAGGAAAGTATAAGACATGAACTGTGTAGATCATTGGTTCTAATATTTTTATTTACCTGTAGTACAAAATGTAGGGTATTTGGCCACGTGACTGAGTTGTTCCGTTCAAACTCAGCGAACACGTGTTAAACGAGAATATAGTGTTGTCTTGACCTTTGACACAGCTCAGTCCCATGTCACCGTTGTTGGTTCGGCCACCGTAATTTCTCAAACGAATCGCATATTTTACTCTTTCCTGTTTTAAACAAAACCAAACATTACAAAGTGAATATTAACATGTTCTCTTCGAGACACCTGGAAATAACTTACCTTTATTCGTATTGGATAGTCGAAATTCACATCCACCACGTAATTTATTGCACTGTCGTTCGGGCCGAACGAACCTCTGGTGACGATTAAACTCTTCCATCGGTTTCCGTGAGGTTCTTCGTACTCCGACTGACTTTTCTAAATAAAAAAATCGTCGTTTGTGTCAATAGAATGGAACTCGCGCTTTAATTCCCCCATAATATTAACAAACAAAAATTCTTTGGTAGTGTACACGACACCTTTTAAATCTCTGTCTAGTTTCCTCTAAAAACAGAGTACATAAACGAGTAATACGTGATAATATGGAATGGCGTCATTCCTTCACCGAGTCAAGTCAACAATAAATACATCAACATTAATACAGAACAACAAAAATGATCGCCAACTATAAGTTCGAACTTTAATATAACTCCCGGTATGTGTCAATCGAGTCATCCGGCCAGGCAAGCACCTCCAAAGGAAGCGTCGAAAGGTGAGACTGTGGTGCAACCCCTTACCAGTTGGATAGGATTAGGAGTTAGGTTAGAGGCCAATGCCATTCTGAATAGAGTACATACTTCTGCGAGCAACTCGAGTTCGTATTCGTAGTTGCCGACGCCGCCAAAGATACCGCAACCGGCAATCGATATGCCCGGACGATCGACCCAAAAGCAAATGGCGTCCGGCGAGCCGTTGCCGGCGTTCCAGGTTTTAGTCTGGTTGATTTTGGAAAACCTCGAAGGAGTGGTCAGCATTACATCTCCTTCGTTGACGACTTCCACGCCGTCCTAATAGGGCAACGCGGTCGATAGATTAGAAAGCGTTTGCACAATGAACGCATTTTAATTCGGTTTTTTTACTTACCTCTGTTATAGTGGCTTGCGATGACAGCTCCGCGACGATTCGGGCCACGAGATGAGAACAGTTGGTCGCCAATTTCGTATCTTCCTTATCCGGCTTCTTGCCGGTCCACAGCGCCTTGCGGACCGGCGTTGCGATCATGTCCAAAAGTTGGCCGAGCAGCTCGTCCCAACCGGGTTCGTACCGGGACGGCTGTTTGGACTCGTTCCGGGAATGCTGTTTGGCCACATTGATGGCGGCGGTCGTCAACATTGGAAAGTAGTACGGGCTGTCTGTGTCGAACGAACTTGGCTTCGATTGGCTGTCGGTCGAGGTCAAAATCGGCATGAGCTCGCGGAGACGGAACGGGGTAGTGCATAGGGCTGCCACCACGGCCGTCAAAAGCTTATTTCTGTGAGTGGCGTGCTAAAAAAATCACACACACACAAGTTAAAAATCGTCAGCACATGGCCGATTCCAAGACTTACAAGCTTTTTCTGAGCGCGATCCCACAGAGAGTGCAACTTCAGATGCGGCGTAGGATAGAACGCGTGGTAACAAGAAACAAAAGTCCTGTGACATTCGTCCAATATCTGATTCAGCCACTTCATGCACTTCATTACAGTCACTACTTCGTTGCCTGCAACAAACAATAATACAATTAAACGTCAGTCAAAGTTTTGCAATTATTTTACAGGTCATACGAAACTCATTGTTGGAAAATTGTATTTTTTCACAAACTAATGACAAATTGTACTAACCACAGATAAAATCGACAGACCAACAGCGTATAAACGTCAAACAACAATGACGTCATTCAAATGAAAATAAGAGATAAAACAAATATTCAGGGAATTCATATCACATGACATTTGGCATTGTGTTTCTTTTGAAACGGTGTTAATCCATTTGAACGTTAACCAATTAATCAAACTTGCCAGTGGAATATCAAAATAAACAGTATACAATATACTATGCACACTTGTTAGTTTTCAAAACGGTTTGTATTCAACACACTGCAGTACCTATTTTGCATACACAGAACGCCTTGAAAAACAAAATGACTGTTCAACCAACTAATCTCTACCTTCTCGAGTATTTTTTTTTAATTTTGTCGTTCAAAGTTTCAATAATATAAATAAAAAAATTCTTATATTTTTCTAAGTAAAACGTATCCACTGTTCGCGATTGCAAGTATAGTAGATTGGACGTAATTTATTATGTAATTTAGAGTAAAAAATAAAACCATAATGATCCAACGTAAATTCGATTTAGTCGTTAAAACATAACCTTATGTAACAACTTTATGGCAAATAATATAATGTTTATAAGTAATTTTATTTATTAATTTCAATAATTTTTTTAACTTTGTAGTTTAATATCGACATGAGCCAATTCGTGACTTTAATAAACTGATGGAAATGTTATTTTAGTGAATCAATCATCATAAACCGTAGTTATTTTAAAGGTCCCAAGAAAAGTGCAATATTAAAAATACTTAGAATACTTTCATTTTTGTTTTTATAGTTTTACGAAATATTCGATAAAAATGTAGCCAATGAAAAATATACAGAAATGTGAAATAACTAACGTTTAGTTTAAAATAAGCAAATAAAATTAATTAACTTTTTTAACTTTTCTTGATCCATTAGGTACTTTTTAAAATTAAAAGGCCGTACAGTTTTGATGCATCTTAAGTATAATAAATTACATATAATACAGGTATAACTATATTGATATTTTTTAGTTGCGATAATTTATTTATAAAACGAGAGATGTTTAATATTTGCAATTATCATATTTTATTAATCTAAAATTAAAATTTTAAATACTTTCTTAAACTTTTTCGAATGCTAAAGAGTTTTTAACTTTAAATACTTAATGATAAACAATTATTTTTTTCTTCTTTGAGAAAAATGCGAGTTTAAAAAAAAAAAAATTTTTTTTTACCTTTGTTTTGTACGAATATCCGATCATAACTCAAGAGGTCTTTGGCACGGGGATCCGACAGAATGTGTTGGAGCACTTGACGGACTTCGATGACGCTTTTGGCCAGACCTTCCGTTTCGGCGAGTTTGATTTTGTCAACTAAATCGAGCACAGATAAAAGACGTTCTAATTTGAAAAATCCCACACAACATGTCAAAACGTGGCCGGCGGCATATAAAGGTGACGTACAAATTGCCGGGAAAAATAAAACATTGAGAGCGAATACAAAAAACCGAAAATGGCGTACACAATAGGTGCGCGCTGTTTCCGGTAACTTTGGCGTCTGTAAATAATACATTTTACCTTGATCCGGATACACTTCGTATATGTACGATTGGAGCAGATGAAAGCACGATTGACTTATGTACATCAACAGTTTGAGTTGGCAGACGGCCGTCGTGCTCGTATCCGTCAATGTCATGTCGGTATAGAACTTCTGTTGGGTGAACGGCATACACATGTTTTCCGCGATATCCATAATTGACGACCAGGCCCACCGGAGTAGCATTATAAGAGACTTGAAGCATTCCTGTAAGACAAAAAAAAACCATCGTGAAAAATAAGCCAAATTTGCCAATCGCGGTCGTTTAACGACAACGATTTTTGACTCGAGAACATTTAATCACAACACCTGGTAATACTGCCAGATACAATACAATTAACACAATATTATATCGTATTGTTTAAATATATATACACTTATTAATCCCGTTAAAACCTACAGTCTATAAGAGCCTAAAAAAAAAAAAATCCATTAACAAGTATAGTAATTACTAGCGAGTTCACGATCCGTGTCCGTTAAAAAAAAAATGTTTATCTGATGTGTGTTTATATACACGTTTGTTTTTTTTTCCTCTCTTTAATCTACTCATTGCTGTTGCTGAACAGGAATCTGTTGGCGATAAATACAAAGTTTACTGATGTTTTTTAAATTTTATTTTTCGAAAACAATGAAAATCGCCATTTCTCGCACACGCCGAAATGGACATAAAACCTTATCCACTCCTTTCAAATGACCGGAAGTGAAGACCACACTAAGACACGTGGCAGTACACGACGATTCCCCCAGGATTTCTTTCCTAAAGTTCTTTTCCCTGTTATACGATATTCATTTATTATTAACGTCTATTTTTTTTTTTGTACTACCTATCGCTCTGTCCAACAGGCGTTAAACGTTCTATACACCGTTACACAATACTATTTACCTAAAACAAAACAAGAAATTTATTTAAGTGCTTTAAAGTCGTTTACCAAAGAGAAATCGTACAAAGCCAAAAAACATTTAAGTAGAGGCACTAGCACTTGTATAGGCAATTTTTATATTATACAATAAAACTTAGCATTAAGCTTAAATTTTTAATCTTAAATTTTGTAGTGTAGGTAGGTACCGTTATAATTCAACGTTTTCACTACCTAATTACTTAGTTTGATAACTTTTTGATTTGACGTGTACCTAACGACCACTGACCTCGACTGACTGTTTTAATTTGTTACCAAAATGTTCCCTCCAATTTACATTTAATAATAATACACTCATATATTATACTCTGCTACATACCCACACATAAATAAGCTCAGTAAACTTTTGGGTAATAATTAGTAAATTAGATTGAACGTAGCGAAATCTGAAGAGTAAGTTATAAATCCAAATTAGCGGAGCGTTGAAAAGTTATAATTTAACTATTAATATATGCAACCACGGTTTTAAAATGCATTGCTTTTGAATTTTAATGAGAACGGAAAGAAGCAAATTGTATATAAATAAATACTAAAACCACTAAGTCATTTTTTAAGCTGTCTACCAAAACCGATTTCGATTTTTTTTTTTTACAAAGTTTAACGTATCTTTGAATAAATGAATGTTAAAAAGCCAATTTTTTTTTTATAACTGTAATAGAATTGTCTATAATTTTAGTTTTTCTAATAAATCGAATTACACTAAGTAAAAAAAAATTCAGCCTTTCAGGCCTCACAAATAAAGTAGTAAGCTTCACATAAAGAAAACATTTTGAAATCTCTCCAATTTTTACAAAAGTACATTTTTTCAAAACTTCCACCTTAACTCAAAGAGAAATTACAAAAAATTTAAAACAAGAAAAAATGTAGTACAAGAAAAACCTAATACTCATTTACCTTTAATTTAGTTAGCACATTTAAAATAACTCATAGATAAATTTATGACAAATATTGCCTAACTTCTGCTTTTTTAATGAATAGCCCTTTCTGTTCCCATTAATTAATGATATTCTTTTATAAAATATAGATTGACTATTATTTATTATATAATCACATACCAACACCAATAAAATATTTTCTTATGTTTTAATTATTATGATTTTTACTTCACAGAAATATTTTTATACTTTAATATCTTCTAATTATAAACGTCTCAAAAATATATTTTTCTAATTCATGTAAAATATGACCATTACAAAATTCCAATGAGTAACTTCCCTATGTAATATCTTTTATATTTTTACAATAATAAATTCTAAATACTCATTCTAAGTAATTTTTGTTCAAACATATTATTATCCAAGATAATAGTGTTGAACGAAAAATGTAATTTGTACAAATAGGTTTCGAAAAAAATAGTGTTCTTAGAAAATAACCAACCACCTAAATATTAATGCAGTCAACACTATCAACCAACACATAACCAGAAAAAAAAACATGATTGGATTTTTCAAAACAATGTTATTTATTAGAATATAACCAACCTTTGTAATTTATTATAATAATCTTACCTTACTGTATCAATCGTAATTTATCTAATTTCGTACCTAGTTATGACTCAGTCGAGGCTTATTTATAATAAAAAAAAAATAATAATTAATTCCATATACTACCACTCTGAATAATAACTTCCAGTTGGTTATTTGTCAACCTTTTATAGCCCTCCGTATTATATTATTATTGATAAATATATGTTAAAAACCAGATGAAATTGAAAATATAAACATACCTTGTTAACATTTCTCGAAAAAGCTTCACTCAACATCTGAGTATCACTATTTGACGTATGAATGGTTGATAGAGATATTGAATCAGGGATGGCTGTTCTATAAAGGATTTCAGGTATCTGACCGGCGTTAATATCGGTTCCGTTATTTGATCGTCGAGAAGATTTGAAAGTAAAAGTAACTCTAAAGAAAACAACAATGCACAATTAGTTTTATCAATCAAAATCAATATTATTAATGAATAATAATAAAATTATTGTATTTTTTAAAATAATAAACTATTGTAATTATTGTTTTATAAAGAAACTTACTGTTCGTCGCTTGTTACACTGCACATTCCACTCGATCCACAATCACTTGACGGGCCATTAATTTTTGCACTGACTTCATACCAACGATTCGCCTATAAAATTATAATGTTACACATAAAAATTTTTTTTTTTTTAAAAATGCACTTTTTCAAAATAATTTACATAAAGAATAACGGGCTCTTCAAATATCACCGGATATCTTTGTCTAGGAGCACATTCAAAAGTAAGTTCTTCTGTTACCGTTACTAAATCACCATCCTCGTCGTCGTCTAAATCGTTTTCATCCATACCAATATCGTATAACTAAACAAAAATATATTTGTAATAACATAGATATGTAAACAAACAATTTTATAAGCAAGAGCTACCGTTAATATGTTAATAGCTTTTATTAATTTACAAAGCAAGAAAGAAATTACCTTTAGCCTAGCGGTGTATTCGCCTCTACCGCCAAACAAACCGAATCCGATCAATAATACATTGCAATCGACTGAAAAACGAATAGCTTCGACCGAATGACCAGAATAACCCCATCCTCCTCCTAAGCCTAATCGTAAACACATTTATTAATTATAGTAATCACTAAATTTTTCCATTCTTTGACGCTATTATGTTGAAAATACGTACTCGCAAATCTATTGACACGCAAAAACTCTTTCTTAGATTCACTTATCGAGTTTATACTTGACAAGTTGTTCTGCGATGGACTAATTCTCAGCGAGAACATGCACGAGTTCTGGCCGAGTATATCCATGCATGTTAATAAATTAACTAATATTTGTACTCGGGAAAATGAAATTCCGGCAGTGGGAGGCAAGGCCAATTCGTAACTCAATAAAGAATTACTATCGGGTTTTCTAGTTGCGTTATTTACATTATAACACGTAACTACAGCTTTTTCATTGACTTCGTTAACACTGAAAAGAAAATGGAAAAAATTACAAGTTAGTCGACAATGTGACGAACCATTGCATTGTTATTTTTTTTTTATAATTATATACTACGGTATTATAATACTGGTATTTAGTAATATCTTACTGCCATAAATTATTGTACAATATGTCAAAACACCAAATTCCGTTATACTTTTCATTGAACTGTACTTGGTTTTTCCCTGAATGGCTATTGCAAGTACCATCCTGTTTGTTAATTGCCAAGCATTTATTTGATGTCATCACCACTTGTTGTGAAGCATGCAATAAAACGAGCAAAGTTAATAAGCTATGGAACAATATACTGTAAAGAGTTTAGTAGCTTGTTATTTAAAGCATAAGTAATATTATTATTAGTAGATTATGTACCACAACAAATTTTTAACAAGTACAATATTGCCTTGAAAAACCTAGAAATAAAATTACTCTATTAGGATAAAAAAGAAAACAGGAGCTCTATTGGCCTATTGAAAAATAAAATATTTAAATTTGGTTTGGTTCTAATACAACTAAATTTATATATCACAATACGATAAAAAAAAATCTTCATTGAACTATTTTGTTTGTTGTTAATAAATAAACATAATATTTTTTTAAATTAAAATTACTAGCTCAAATTATGTGGAAAAAATAGTTCAAGTGACCTGTACTAGTTAATAATAGAAAATTTATTTTCATAGGTCCAGCCACATAAAGTAATTATAAAGAAAAAATCTTATTTTGTGCCATAAATCATGTTACCAAATAAGTTCTAGTAAAGGAGTCAATTAAAAAAAAACCTGTTATGAAGCTTTGTCTTATTTTTATCATATAAAATGATAAAATAATTAATTTCTTACAAATTGTTTCCTTGTTGGCAGCAATGGACAATATTTTACTGTTAATCAGCCCCTCGTCAACTTTTACAATTGTCTGGTCGCCACAGCACATAACAACATTTGCCCGTCTTGTATGTGGCGGATAAATGTCTTCAACACATAAAGGTACGTTGTTGCTTTCGCAAATACGACCAAGTTGATTTTTCTGTCACGGAACATAAAATATAAATAATAAAGTTTTGAAATATGACTCGATGTGCAATAGACTATTTACCAAATAACTCCCAAAAGTATAGAGTTTGCCGTCTTTCGACACCAATGCAGTATGATTGCTGCCCGCCGAAACACAAGTTATGGGACATTTCAAACGAGGTATTTTCACTTCAGTCGGAACTCTTCTACTATGCGACAGGCTACACCCGAGTTGTCCGTTTGTATTACTACCGAACGTAACTACTTTGCCATCGCTATGTAGTAAAACTAAAGAGACATTTTTTTTTTTTATATGTGTTAATGTTTAACTGTAGTGTAAACATGGATTTAGTTTATTACCCGTGTGATGAAGACCACAGCTTATTTGAACAACTGGACAGTCGGTCGGCAAAAATATGCGTGCCGGGGGCAACGATGATAATCTCGCATTAGAATCTCTTTCAATATCACTACTGTGATTGCTGACAGCATCTTCAATACACAAAAAACCAAGAGAACATTTAAAATTATTTATTTTAATTTTAAATGAGCAGGCACTATTACAATATAATAGATAATAGATAATAGATAGTAATCATACAGACAAAGAAGACATAACTAGTTTGGTAGAGCGAATGAATCAACATTAAAATAATATTTACATTTTTCATTTATCCATTAGTGGAAGAATTACTGAGAAAATCTATAACTCGAGTATATATTATGTATAAAATACTTTTAAACCTTGTATGATAAGTGTTCAAGAAATTATTGCTAAGAAAATCTAGAAAATTTATCTGAGATTGACATCTCAGGAAAGATAGTAAAAAAAACTAAATGTTTTTTTTTTAATGATATTACACTTTTGAAAATTGTGATGGTAGAAGACTACAAAATATTTTCTACTTTCACAATAAAAATTTATTTAAGTTGTCCTAACCTAACCTAACCAACCATCCCATGAGTCAGGATATGTATTTTCCAAGAAACCTATTTCTGAGAAAAAGATACCGGCACTTTAGAACGATTATTTTAGTATTTTATTTATATACAAAAAAAATTCTCACTTGAAGCACCACCCATTATTCCGATTCTCATCATTATAGTCCCATCTGCTATATCTCCAATGCCATTAGATCCCAGTATAGCGAATTCCGACTTTTCTTTGGTCTGTTGTGCACAAATACGGCAACAACCACAAACAGTACATCCAGCGTCTCCATCACCACAACCACATTTCCTGTAAAATGTCACGTCAGGTTAAATTTTTTTAATTTATTGGATCCAAAATTTAAAAGTAAATACAATGTAATAAAAACTTGAAAATTAAAAATTCAATAATCTTATTTAACGCATAATATACACTCTTTTATGAAAACTCACTGGCCAGGTTTGCGATTCGATTGTATGCTACTGAAACAGCCGACACCGTACCCTGTACATTCTCTGCACACAGTGCAAATCATACAAGGTCCGTTTCTCCATAAATGTGTACCTGGTTTACAGATATTCTCATTGGGTACTTCATCAAAACAGTCGTCTTCGAAGAAACTCCGATCGTTTTTCAAATTCATTTCATCTGCTGATTCTAAACTGGTCATACTTGGATAATCTAGCGAAAATTAAAAAAATATATAAAATAATACATTCAAACGTCGAGTTGAAAATTGAAATCATTGTTACTGTTTTTATTTGCTTGCACGTTGCCCGTGTCACGTCCACATTGTCCTTTGTTGTTGATGCCGAAACTATACACATGTCCCTTAACACTCAAAGCTATAGCATGAGCTTTACCTAAAGCTACTTGTACAATTTTGGCGTTCTTTAAATCGTTTACTAGTCCTGAAAAATTCAGAATTTATCGTGTAGCTTTTTGAAAATATAATAGCAAATTAAACTTTACTATTTGTGCTTACCCGTGTACCGATCGCAATAAATAGTATCTTTCCCAAACATGTACAAAAGTCCATCCTTAGTCACTAATGCGGTCGTTCCATGGTTGCAGGCTACGTCGACAATGTAATGCCCATCCATTTTGGTTATCTTTTTTGGTTTGGTCACTTTAGATGGTTTTACGCAACGATCTTCTTCGCCGTCTTCTCCACGTTTCGCTACACCCAAAAAGTATGCCGATCCCAAATCGCTTAGAAACACGCAATGTGAACCGTCATGCCCAGAGGCTACTTTGATAATTTTACATTGATTAGGCAGAGTGAGTTCAGACCATACAGAGCGGTGACTGTTCATAACACTCTGACCTTTAGGTCTTGACCATTGCATTGCCTGTTGATGTTTGAAAATCACACTTACAATGGTAAATAATAAAAAAATAATTTATTTTCACTTACTCTTCCGGATTTGACTGATATGATAAAACTGTCTTTTAGACTGGCGATGGAAGAAACTTCTTCATCAGTTGCACTGTTAATAGCACTCTCGGCTGTAATGGAATCCCACAGATCGGTGACACCATAAATTCGTACGTTGCGACGACTTAGCATCAAAGGAACTTCTTTGGCAAGTTTTCCCGTACTGGGGTCTACACACTTCACTGCGTAATTGTTCTACAGAAAAAGTCGTAATACATAATTATAATATTTAACCGACTGTAAATTAATAAAGTACGATAAATAGCTATTTACACTTACAGCAGATTGTACAAGAAAACACAAATAGTCACCATCACTAAATATCTCACAATCTTCCGATTGAAATTCGTCTACTTGTACTCGTCCAATTTTTTTTAATGTTTCTTTGTTTAAAAATTCAATTTCTAGAATGTTAGGATTATTGATATTGCACATTCTTAAATAAAGAACTTTCTATAAAAATCAAACAGATCATTTTAGATTTCATTGTTACAAAATTCATAATAAAAAAAAAATTATATACTTGATAGAATCCAAGAGAAACATCGGTTGAATGCAATGGTTGATTTGCTGTTCGTGGCATCTTCAAATAGGTCAGGCCGCTAATCGTACCTCCAAATCCTGTACCGATTTTATGTAATCCGTAGTCTGAGTATGTATACAAATAATTACCATCGGATGCAACTCCCTTGATATCTAATAAAATTTAAATAATTATACAATATAAATTATTTTTTAAATACAAGTAAATGCAACATACTGTTCAGGTAGTTTAAGTTCAACGTTACTATTTCTGATGACTTTGGTATTCCAAAGTTCATCCAATCAGGTGCTTCGTAATCACCGTGTGTAAGAACACGAACAAATTTTTGCAAATTAATCAATACTTTAGGCAACTGAAAAAAAAAAGTAGCGATTTATTTGATGGTGATACATTTTTACTAATTTAATACTAATACAACATCGCTGACAAGAGAAAACCTCTTACGGACTAGATTGTAATTTTCCGTTAGAGATAAATTAGTTTATAACATAAATAAACGTTGTGTCATCATTTCCAATATATTTCTACACGAGTAAAATTATAGATATATAAAAAAAAACGTACAATGATTTTTCTAGGAGAAGAATCGTGTGTGCACATAAGTAATGTTGCTAGTGTATTCAATATTTTCCCAGTATCTCCCCGAACAATTACTAAGCTTATGAGGCAAGAACAAGCCACTGCTTTAATACCATATGTTGAGTTATCGGATCTCCCAGTTGCCATGTCCAACAGCAACTCATAGAGAGGATCTAAAAATGTAAATAATAATTTAATTGTCATATTGTAGTTTGTTAACATTTATTTTATTTTAGACACACCTATGACTTCGGACGGTTCGTCTTTTAGCGCTTCCGGAGTTTGGTACTGAATAATATCTAACAGCGCCGTTAGAGCTTTTGTACTTATATCGGGAGCCGTTTTTCTGCTCTCTTTGATGAGCTCAAAGACACTGCGCAGCCCAATGCCTACAACCTGTAGGTGAGAACCACGATATTAGTTAAGTAGGTACGTACTATTAAAAGTGTATTCGCACTGACTTTAGGTATGAATATCTCGGCAGATGATACGGGCTGAATGTTGGCGGTTGACTGTAATGTCCGGTTGAGATATATCGGAGCCGACGAAGAGATCCAGTAGGCTTCGTCAGCTTTTTTCGCGTACCTATCGAACACGGCGTACCTAGCTGCCGACAGGACCGCAAACGACGACGCGTTTCCAGATACATACATTGTCCATCCGCCGTCCTGCTGTCGAAACGCATGTTTACGTTACAACAATATGTACGTTTTTATAGATGTATACCACCAATAATCTTACCTTGTAAAGCTTGGCCCCTTTTTGCGTTTTTTGCACATTTTTCTTGGGCAATAATTTCCTGAAACGTCGACAACGGGTTTAGTGGGAAAATATTTTCTTAAAAAAAAAAACGGGCCGACGTCGTAAGATCACTTTGCGGTTCATAAAAGCAAACACTCACTTGGGTATTTCTTGGGCTTCCTGGAAAAATCGCTTGTACAGCTGCTCGATGCCGTCCACTTCGGGCAACATGATGGCGCGACAAACACACTCAGGACATCCTACGCGTCAGTGTGGTGGTTGAACAACAAATAGAATATGTAACAGATGAACATGATCACAATGAATTCCGAAAAGAGAAATATCAAATTGATCATTTTTATCGATTGATATTTCCCGGGTTCCCGGTATTCAAAATCGGTGTTTATCAACAATGGACGCGAAGTAGGGGAAATGATAGCAGTGTCGACCAACCAACCGACAGATATCTGCCGAGCACAGACTATAGGGTGCCCACCGCTCGATCGATACAGCCAGGTCCGTACCGCGGTTACAACTCACACGGAGCCGGCGATATTTGCACGGCGATAGTGTTTGTCGATAATAGTAGTGCACGATAGCGATTGTCGACCAACGGCTACGGCAGTCGCAGTAGCGGGTAAATATCATCACTATCGATAGCTACTGCTGCTGTTGAAACGGTTACTATCGATAGTGTCCCGTGATAGTGGCCACTATCACGGTATCGAACAATCGAGCTGTTCTACATGGGATGTATAATTCTGTGATTCCACTATCAATGTGTGGAACAGGTGGTGCTCTCTACGACCGCGCGGTACCCGCACCGGACTTATGACGCTTACTAATGTAGAGAGCGGCACGTATTGCTCGTTTCGCGTTTATCAATTTTGATGAGAAAATATGGAAAAAAAATCTATTTATACTGTTCTAAAATTCCAATTGACAGTAGAGCAATAACTATTAGACTCTATTAAGTTAGCGGAGATTTTTAAAAATGACTGTTTAAAACTTATGACTATGATTATACTACAGTTTTAATAACTATACTAAAGAATAGTACTTGTCAGTCACTTGGTCGAGTTTTGTTGCGAAGGGTTGGCTCCCAAAACCAAAACCATTGATTTTAACCCTTAAGAGGACGTCACACAGCCAATTTTCCAACGTCGAAACATACCTACTTCTGTACTACCATACTCGTTCCATAATGATTTTAGAGCAAAAACGAAAGATGACAAGATTTTGGAGACAATGTCATATCCTTTTTTTTAATAACCCTAATAATTAGCATTTAAAATTTAAAATCAATTTTTTTTTACTTTTGTAACTGTGCTATAACTTTTTTGATGTTGTTATTTTCAACGTCGGATATGACATTGTCTCCAAAATGGTGTTATCTTTCGATTTCATAATAAGTGTTTTTGCTCTAAAACAACTATACACTTAGTAAAACGTATTCTGCGTAACTATGTTTAGGTGAAAAAAATATTTAAAATCGCTGTTAAAGATGCTGTGATAGTCTGAAAAAAAATGAACTACAAAAAAACAAGAGGTCTAGTTAGTAGTTACTAAACTTATAATTACACATTAAAGTTTAAAGATTTTGCAACAAAAAAAATTCCTAAACCTAAATTGTCAATAAATAGGAGGTGTCACATCCTTTTAACATGGCATTGTATCTTTAAAGATACATACATTTTATGTATAACCCATGACCAACCTAAAGGAGTATGTACTATTATTATAATTATATTTAATTATATCCTAAGTTTATTTAATTTGGTTAATACGAAGTAATAAGTTTATTATAACTTAATATACTAGGTACTTATTGTTGTAGCTATAACACAATACTTGCAAAAAAAACACAGCTGCAGTCACGATGACGCTATATTAAGTTGCATTTTAACATAACAAACTATAATATTAACTTAATAGGATACAAGTGACTTTATTTTCCAAAATACAATTTGTTATGATTATTTACGAAAACCAAACTTATAAACATGATACATTTTTGAAATATTAATCGATGTGAAAAACTTACTTATGTACAATGTTACACGGGTGTATCAAAAAAGATAACAATGCATGTCATAGTTTATTATTATAATATTTTTAAAAATTACATCATGGAATTTTTACAAATTTGGAAACGTTGCCAGGTGGCAGGTACACACAAAAGGATATGCGGGTAATCCATCATAATAATATATGAACGTTAAAATTGTTGTAACAAACATAAAACACAGTATGCTAAGGACAAAATGGTAATGATTTCACATTCATTTACATTTCAGGTAGTTATACCCGTGATCGTGGCAAAAAGCAATGAAGTATATTTTAACGAACAGTCGTAGGCGTAATTTTGCATTTACGATCCATTATTTCATATTACACATATAAATCAAAACTAAACGTTTTCGAACAAAATAAACATGTCCGCTTGCAAAAATTAATCATGCGAATCCGACATTAAAAATCTTGAATTTTATATCGAATTTGATTAAACGATCCGTTTAGTGACAATGAAAATAAAATTAGCTACAATAAATAAACATCTGACGATAAGCCTAAATCTACCGGATCTGCCCGCAGATTTTGTATGATTTTTTTTTTGTAAAACGGTTCTAAAGTAGATAATAACATAGGTTTATGTTATTTTCAGCTTAAAAAAAATTCAAATTTGTTTTAAAATTTGACTTACAAACACATATTAGTATGTGAATGGCTGTATGTGTATGTCCTGAAAGTGTCATGTTATCCGTTTTGTTTAAAAATTTAATTTAAAAAAAATAAATGTTTCGGTCAAATTTCTAGTTAAAATGTAATTAGAAAAATATGCAATTTTTTTCAAAAATACACTATCCTATGAGTTATTAGTACTCATTACAAAATTCATTTTAATAGTTTAATTATAGCTAATACTAATATAATATAATAACAAGCTTTTTTTTTTGTTCAATTATTTATTTAAACATTCATAATTAATATAATTCATATTTAATAATATTTATTTTGGGTTGTACAAAACTTTATTGGTTCTATAAACTAGATAAACATGTTTAACATTATATACTTCACAAGACGTATTGTGTTTTGTTTTGTGTACTTAAAAAATATGTTATGAACGTTTCAACAACCGAACAAGTGATAAATACCTTGAAGGTGATTTAGTTTGTTACGCGATGAAAAACCATGTACCTACATGTTAAGCCCGATTGATGATGTGATGTGTATTTTTTTTTTTATTAAGCTTGAGTCCTATACAGTAGAAAAAAAACTAAATTATTCAACTTGTATCTAGTGTTCGGCTGATTCTAGCTTCGATAGAAATGCGTTCTTCTATTATTATTATTTGATAACTGTTATTCCATAACAAAAAAAAAAAATACAAAATATTAGAATATCTATCCGGTTGTTTATGGATGTAAGTATAATAAATTATCCGGCAAAGACGGGTGTAAAAATTCCTCAGGTCAAAACTAATGACTTCTCGCGTGTGATTAGATAACACCATAAATAACTCCAGGCGCCATCCTATTATCATAATGTTCTTAGCCGCTTGCAAGTAGTAACTTATCAAAAACCTTTTTGACGTCTTACTGTTACTACTACAGCTAAAACGGTCATTGTCGTTTGCAATTGATTTAATATAACATTTATTATAAAATTATATTGTTGTGTAAAAAATTCGCGAAACTCGTTTAATGGGCAAAATTTATCTCCTCGTTCGTTTTACGTAAAAATTGACTGTTCTTAAGCGATTTTTTTTTTTTTAATACTTATGTATATTTTATAAAAAATGTACCGTTTTTTTTAAATACGTTTAACGACCGTTTGGTGTTTGTTTGTAGCATTACTTCTTTTTTTTAAACATGATAAAATAGTATTTTTAAAAAAATCGTTCATTTTCATTTGTACGGAGATAAAAATGACCAATTCGGATGACTCGCAATTCTTAAATTGTAGGTAGTTTTATTTTATAAATATAATAGTAATTATTATTATTAAGTAAAAGTGTTAATATGGCATAGGCATAGCCAAAAAAATAAAGGTAAATTTAGAAAGTCCGAAAGGTTACGGTCACGGTCAATTGCTGGTTTAAAAGTACTTATATTGGTATATGTTGAGAGTGTAGTAAAAAGACTTTCATTGCAAACGCTTCAGTATTAACTTTTTATTAGTGCTTATTATCGATTTTCGAATATATATATATATATTAATTTTAATTATTTTGATTTAACATATTATCACAACTCGATATTAACAATTTATAATTATTAGTAATTCGCCACATAATAATTTAATATAATCATTCAATATATTTTACAATGATTAATGACTATACCTGTATAAAAAGCTTTTACCAAACAACTCATCGCGTACCTATACAAATAACACTAAATTAACAATATTAATTTTTAATTTAGTCAATTTAACTATCCACTAAGTCTAAATAGGGAAAAAAACTATAATCAAGGATGGACATTAAGAAGACGTTAACAACATAAACGAAAGTAGATATACATGATAATGATTTATAATAAAGATATAAAAACATAACAATATGTTAAATATAATTAGTAAAGTTATAAGTTGATAATGTTAACCGACTATAGTTTTTTTTTTTTAATAGCGCCTCCGCAGTGTTTATGCCCAGAGTGAATTCTACGTGAAAACATTTTTATTCGCCCAGTTTTTTACTAGACCTATGCAATTGCAATATGCGTCTTCATTAAAACGATAATTACTATTACTGTTTAACGGCCCTTAATACGTTATGAGACATTACAATTGATAATGGGTTTGACGATGAGCTGGTCGTGCGTTTATACACTTATATTATATTATGGCTAACGCCGGTAATAATGAAGAGACCCCATCGAATGACCGGCGGGCACGACCTCACCAATAGGTATTATTGACCTGCACGTTCGACAGTCAAAACAAAAACATCACACGTCCAACAGCCAACTCCTACTGCGGTGGCAGTGATGGGTAATAGTATTATGTCAGAACCGTAAACCGGCGAGTTCCCTTTGAAAATAATTTCTCACTATTGTCAAAATTTCTCAATTTTGATACATAGGTACGATTGTGTTTTTTTGTTTGTCGAATCGCGTGCATATAACGCCATCATAGATTTCACTTTTTTTTTTTTTTTTAAACGAGGCCATCGATACACTGATATTGAATAATATTGACATCGTTTGTAATATATTCATGTTTTAATATTTCTTACTTACGTCGGTACGGGTTTGTACCAATGTCGTTCGTTTTTATTATTATTTATAACCTCAATAATAATATTATGATCCACATTTCACGAGCAATGGTCAGGTTGAAATGCTCTATGGGTGTGTAACAGCCCAGCCAATTTCGATTGACACTTGACTCCCATAATATTATAATATTTTCGCAATGCATTTTGTTGGTCACGCTGTGTGAATATTACGGTCTGTA